ACAAGTGATGAGGCACAAGTGATGAGGCACAAGTGATGAGGCACAAGTGATGAGGCACAAGTGATGAGGCAAAAGTGATGAGGCACTTGAGATCAGCGTGAGCCTCGAGCCTGCCAAGATTTTCGAGTGTTGCAGTGTTTGTTTTTTGCGTGTCTCTTTCTCGTTCGGCGCATGTTGTTTTCGTTTTGTTAACCCTTTGCCTGTATATTGGGATCAATATCACCACAGGCATTTTTTTAAAATCTTGATTATTCACCCGAACGATTTTTTCTCTGACATTTTTGCATGCTAAAGTCTTTTTGATATGCCTGCCTCTTAGTTGAGACATATTTTCGATTATTTAATACTCGTTTTGAAAGATTTTCGCAATGAACTTAGCTTTATTTTAGAGTTACATACAAAGGGTTAAGAGCACCGACGAACCGACGTGACAGCTCACACAATCTACTTTCAAATTCGTGCCCAACATGCCATATTTAAAATACGTTAAACACTACCGACATCTACTCATCCGATCCCGTCATACCATGAGCAAGGACACGAAGGTTTGCGTCTCACCTCGTTTGACAGATCTGATCGCCCGTTTGAAAGTTCGAATCGCTCGTTTGACAATTCGAATTGTGGACAAACGAAATTCTCCTATGGCATGTCGGTTCGTCGGTGTTAAGAGTCTCGGTAGCACATTTTTGTACACACGAGGAAAATGTAACTCTGAGTGAGATCTATACATATTTGCAGTTTTGTTTCGTCTTACGCACATACTAAGATTAGTTTACAGATACAGATATCTGAGAAAAATTCACAGATATTTGTGAAAAATTACAGGAAATCTGCGAAACTGTTTGCCGAACGTTCAGCTGTTGAGATTTCGGTAAAATTTTACAGATTTCTGTAAAAATTTCTAAGTGTGCAGATTACTGTTTTATGAATAGTTTCACAGAATTTTGAAAGCGAGAGTTTTCCATATTTAGTTAAGAGTAAGAAACGTTATCCCACCAGAGAGCGACTTTTGAAAACCCTCGAAGCCCAAGGAAGACAACCCTATGTTCCTATAAGAGACGTGTTGGCAACCCGTGATATCTGCTTTATGTAGTGGATTTATGTGTTTCTGCAAATGTCTATATGTATGTATGTATGTAAGGTAGCCACCATCCCTTCAAGACTTGTCTTGTATGCAGCTCCACTCAATAGCAAGATCAATTTGAGCTACCGATCTGAATTCACTATATCGCTGTATGAAGGGCCAAAAACGGAAGGGCGGACCCGTAAGCAGAGACACTTACGCGAAATCCGCGGGAATTTAAGAATCTCCTTCCAACGATACGCTCCAACAAATCGAATAACACAATTCGCAATACTTATTAAGCTTCCTACTGGATGGTTTGTTAAGAAGGGCGCGTCAATCGCCCTGAAACTGTTGAAGTAGAATTCACACCACCACAATCGAATCGGTAGGATAAAGAAAATGATAGTGTTTATTCCCTCCTAGACTCCGGCTGTCAATCATACCATCGTCCAGTTTCAGTTTGAATGATACCCTGATGCTCCCTCCCAACCCAGTATTTATTTATATAATGAAAATATATGCAATGGATGTGTTTCTGCAAATGTCTAGTATAAAAAATGAATTCCTTTGTCTTTTGTTTCTCTTTATTAGTTTTTGTATGTCTTGTCCATCCGTCTAGTCCATCGCATCGTCGCCATAGCCAGTCGAACTCCAGACGAAGCTAGAATCGCACTACCGTTCATACTGGCGACAACACTCTAATGAGACAACAAAACCCCACCCAAGCTCCTCCCCTGATCCTATCCTTCAATAATGTATAATGTATATGTATAGCAATAAGTTAATTTTGTTACAACCAATGAACAATGAATTATCGGCTCCGTAAAGCTAAAGCGATTGAGCCTTACAAATAAACGAACTCGATAAAAAAGAACATTATCAGAAAACGATCCTCTTGGCAATATCTGCCTTCACAATAATTCTTCGTATTCGCGGTACTCCTAGATACCCTAAGAACTTTTGGAAACTCCCAAAACTTTGGAATACCCTGGGGTTATTGAAACCTTCTAGGACCTTTTTGTTGCGAGTACATTTCCTAGAGCTTCTCGCAGCAGAACTCTAGAACCCCTTCAACATCTGAAACTGTCGGGACGTAGGGAATTTGAAACTTTAAAAACATTGTGCAACGTCGTACCATTTTGGAGTTAGGACCAACAACCCAATAGTCGTTCACGTGTAAATTTTCATGACTGAAAATCGTTTTTCCTGTTTTTCTTTGCAATTTTTCTCCACCATGAAAATTGTTGAGAAAATCCTTATCCAGATTCTTCTTCTTCTTCTGCTTTTGCTTCTTCTTCTTCTTCTTCTTCTTCTTCTTCTTCTTCTTCTTCTTCTTCTTCTTCTTCTTCTTCTTCTTCTTCTTCTTCTTCTTCTTCTCATTTCAAGCTTATTACATATTGCATATTAGCTTATTACGTGCTCTCAACTTAGTGTTCTAGATGCACTTACACAGGTATTAATTGAGAGCTTTAGATGCCTATACCATTTTTGCATTAGTATAATTGTGTGGTAAGTACAATCAGAGAAGTCGAAACATTCCTAGACCGGACCGTTAATCAAACCCACCCACCTCCAGCCTTGTAGCTGCGCCTTTACCGACTGAGCTAAGAGAGGCCGTGCATTTATATTTTGAATGAATTACTGAGATAATTTCCTTTTCAAAAATAAACTATAAATCTTTGGTTTAGGATACGCAAACATGTCGGATGATAAAAATTAAAAAAAATGCCCTAAATGTCTAGTGCTAATGCCCTCTATTATTCGGCTAAACATCCGGGTTTGGTTAATCTGATACTGGTCACTCATTATGATGACATACGATCTATTTTGTACTCTTGTCTTACCGGATGTATTTGACGATATAATTGGCCTATAATTTCGAACTATTTCACCCATTATCTCACTTTTCAGCAGATGCATTATTTATGTGTTATATTAAGAGTACTCAAAATTAAAAATATTTGTACTTTTGAGCAAATTATCAAAAAATCAAAGCTGTACGAAAATCAACATGTGCAGCTGAAAACAGCCTGCTGTTCGCTGTGAGTCATTCAAACAGTTTAGATCAACTCTCATCACCAGCCAAATACTGAACGGTGAATTACTCTGAATATTTCTTTCGACTTATGATCTCCTCGCAACACAATGTTTTCGTTCGCTTCTGTTGAGAAACAAACACCATTCCTCAATAAAAGCCCCCAAGAAAAGCTCACCTTACTTACTGTTAAAGCGAAAGCTTCACTTAAATGATTAACCTTTTCTCAGCATCTACCTCTCCCATACTATGTTCGGATCATAAGACGTATCCAACTTCTCGATCGGCGCCTCCTAACGGTAGTCGTCTAGTTTCGGTTCATCATCGGAGGAAAGCAAATCAAAATTTCATTATTTTAGCACTATTATTCCCTTCAAATGCCTATGATAATAGCATCGTTCGAATCGAAATATTATCTTCCGATAATTCGATTAACGCCATTACCAGAACTGGTGGAAGCCAGTAACAATGAGACTTAGCTGGTAGTGCTATAAAATTGGTATAATCTAATCGAATAGCTACAGTGTTAATAATTGCTTAACATCGAACAAATCCGCTTGCTTGCACATCCAGGAACTGAAGCGGGCGGAATGATATAATTATCTACCAACTACTTATGCGAACGAATGGCACTGCACGTATGGAAAACCCATCGAAGCCTTTATTAGTTAGTGAGCAACTGTGCGTGCATCTCTCGCTGCTTTAGGAAAGAAGCTCCGATCAATCTTTTACTTCCTGACTTCCGTCCTTCCACTGCACTGCTGGTTAGTCAGGTAAAACCTATGAAAAACCTATCGCTTGCATGTGCAGTGCATGCACTTTTCATTTCATTTGCCAACCATAGGACCGTTAATGCAAGTAGCGGTGAAGGAGCTGTTGTTGGCTTACTGATCATTATATTAATTGGCCATAGTGTGTTGTATTTATTGTTTATGTGCTGCACGCATGGCTCGTGGTACTGGGTGGGCACAAAGGTATCATGAACTTTTCCGACGGCATGGAATCGCCTTTATTGACGTTCCTTGTAACTGGTGCAACCAACAATTAAACGGCACAAAGAAAGCTTTTTTAATTGAAAGACCGTGGCTGGGACCCCCTCCTTGAAGAAGCGAAAGCTATTTGATATTATAAAACTTAAAACTGACCATAGAATCGTTTGGAATTGTACTGAATCCGTGATACGTATTAAGATGTATCAAAAGTTCTAACAAACCATACATAACCCTCAAGCTGATCCTACTTCTCAAATCCAATTGCCACAAGGTTTCCAATTTCCTTTCGCCCTCAAATGGTAATCAATTTTCCAACAACTCCAATTTGGGTTATGGTACCACCACCAACAACAACAACAGCTCATGGTGAGCTGCAATCAACGCACCAGGGCAGTTTTCAATCAACGATCTGCTCAGATATTAATCTCTTGCATAATGACCTCGATGTTAATCTTTTTGTCGCACATAAACCTTTGGCTCATGGTGTCGATATGTATCTACTGATTGACCGAGTTACTTGATTATCTGAGGCCAACGGTTAGCAATCTAAAAGCAAAATCAATCAATTCAGTGCAGATTTTCAACTCAGGGACATCAATTAAAGCGGAGATGCAAAATTCGGCTCCAGGTGAAATCAATAGTTTTCTGCCTTTTGAGTTACATGTTTGTTTTTCTAACATGATTCAGGTCGATCAACTTCAACACATTGAAGACTGCGGGTAAAACCAGAAAAAAAAATACTACATATACGTATCATGAGATGTTTGTTGATTTTTCCCAAATGATTGGGGTTTGTTGCTTTTCGGTGAAATTATCTAGGTAATTATAGTGCGTTTCGTGTATGCGGCGATTCAAGGTTCCCACCTCGTGTAACTAACATCGATAGCGAAATCAATCTCAAACTTACCTGATGTCGGGCGCCGCTTCCACCAGAAGTCGCACACAGTCGAGGCAACCACGGGCGGCCGCGTAGTGGAGCGCCAGGGCTCCACCCGCCGGCCGTTCCATCGGTGGCATCATCTGTGCATGGGACGAGTCCAGATGTGACAGGTATCTGGACTCGTTATACCCGGAGCACCCCACTGTCACCCTGCAAAAGAGAGAAGAAACGTGTATGTTAGTTAGGATCATTGGGAACATAAACATTTGAAGCGGCGAGGATTTATCCAATTATGTGCACTTTCTAACAAATGTGAGATTAACCCATGCGTATTTAATGCTTCCATTCCGTCATTTCTTGTCCGATTCAGATGAAACAACTTTCAATTGATCAGAAATTTATTTAGGGGGTTGTTTAAATATAAAAACTGCGTGGAGAAAACATTATTTTTTAAACCGTTTTGAACTGATGACATTTTCAAAATGTAACCAAAATTACTCACAACTTTTGAAAAGTCTTAAACAATAAGCAATTCCCGATAAATTGCTATCTAAAGCTTGGGTACGCAAAGGTTAAATTATTAGTGAGGATTGCTCTTTTTTGTTTTACGGTCTGACATCGTCACAGAATGAATGAGACTAAATTGTATACCTTTCTAAAGCACAGCAGGCCTAACTTTTACTTCTAATAGAAAGATAGGTAGAAATAAGTGTATCCTTGAAGACTAGCTGCGTGTAATTTTGTGAGAATATTCTGTTGAGACCATGATTAAGGCTTGTAGAATGCTTTAAAACCTCCATAAAACTTGCAATGTTACTTGGGCGTAGTCACGTGTTGTCTGCAGTCAATATTTTATTTTATGTTTTCCAGTAATTATCGAAAATAATAGCTATTCAATACTACATAATTCAGCCATATATAGAAGTATAAAAAAAGTAGTAAAATGTTTCCATTTTATTTTAAACAGGATTACCGCTTTTGCTTACTGAGTAGAAAACCGTGGGATTATTCCCAAGCTCCTTCAAAACAAAACAATTACTATGGTCACATCGCTTGCTTTAGCGGATCCTGACCCATCTCTTACCCAACTATCCAACTCCGTAGCATCTATGGGGGCATCTGTGAGTCGCTGGCCTTCCGTTAAGTACATGTTACATCAACAATATCCTTTATTTCCCCGTAACGGAGAACATGGGCCTGGCCTGCAATGGTAATGGTCATCCTTTTCCTATTCTGAATTCTGATTGGAGAGCTATTCATTCCCAAATAGTTTTCTTTAAGCAATTAGAATAACAAAGTTAAAGAAGATACATGACAGTTGCCAGTATGCAACCTACGAATTACTCCGTTACAAATGCAACGCAACGCAACACCAGGCCTAACTTTTACTTTTTCTTGGCTAGCAGAACTGTTGTCGTAAAATTTGAGCTTAATAGTCGCTTTTTTTCATTTGGCATGACATATATGGATACATACAATATCAAAATGGCGCAAACGTTATCAAAATCGTGGCGTCAAGAAACATTCGACCATTTATTTTCGTACATTATACCATTACCAAAAGTATAATGAGTGACATATCTAAATCTATATAGGGGAAATGGATGTAATGTCGGCCTAAATGCCCCTAATTTGGGCCCATACATAAACTCCGCAATCGACTAAATTTTCAATATCCATTTGCACCGTCCCAATGACGCGTTCATCTAGATAAAATTGATAAATATCACATTTTTAGCGATGGGCCCAATCTTAGATCCATAGATCAACATTAGAGCCATTTCCCATATATATTCATAATCGTCAACTGGAACAAGGTGATATGACCGGGTGTTTGCCATAGAGAATTTAATTTTTCTTGATCATATGGATTTTTCAGGCAATCTCAAATTCTCTTAAAGACCGGAACGCGCAAAAATTGGTCGACAAAAAATCGTTTCTTTCAGTCAAAATTCATACCACAAAAATCTTCTTATTTTAAGCCAACGCAATGTTGACTTTATTTCTGACATGGACAATGAAAGCATTTTACTTCCAGTCGTTGGGGAAAATGAAACACTCCATTTCATTTTTGACAAAATTGCAAATTTAGGACTTAATCAAATTAACCATGTGAAAATCAACAAAATTGTTATTTAGACCTTTTATTAACAAATACTTATGAAGATTTCTGTGTGACTGAATCGTTAAGTCCCATATGGAGAAATGAAATGTTTCACACAGCAATAGAATATTCTTTATTCGTTCACATAAATGAAAGAAACCAACGACTGCGAATTTGATGAAATCTTTGATTACAATTCAGCAAATTATGATAACATTAGAAATAGATTGAACATTGTCGATTGACAAGCAATATTAAGAACTGCAGGAAATGTTGAATGTGCAGTTGACGTATTCTACAATGTGTTGATTGAAATAATACTTGAAGAAGTGCCAACTAAAAGAAGAAGACGTCAGAGTCATGCAAAACATCCGGTTTGGTACAACAGGGAACTGTAAAATTTAAAAAATCAAAAGCAAAAAGCGCATAAATTTTATAAAAAATATAATAGTGAAGAAACTTTGGCATACTATTTAGACATTTGCGATCAGTTAAATTTAGCCGTGAATATGGCATTTGAGGAGTACAATTTAAAAACTGAACTTGAAATAAAATCTTGTCCTAGGAACTGCTTCAATTATGTGAAAACCAAATTAAAATCTGATAATTTTCCATCAAAGATGCATTTGGACGATAGGGTAGGTGAGAACTCGGATGATATATGCAATTTGTTTGCAAATTTCTTCCAAGAAATCTATACTACGTTTTCAGAAAAGGACCGTGACCGTGAATATTTTGAATCTTATCCAGAATTTTCAAGTGACATCAGCGTAAGTCAAATCAAGGTTCATGATATCTTAAAGGGTTTAAACAATTTAGATGCATCTAAAGGTCCTGGCCCTGACGGTGTTCCGCCAGTTTTTATGAAAGCTTTAGCAACTGAACTTACTGCTCCATTATTTTGGATTTTCAATATGTCACTGGAATCCGGAAACTTCCCTAAAATATGGAAAAACTCGTTTTTAGTGCCTATCTTTAAATCGGGCAAAAAATCCGACATACGTAATTATCGTGGTATAGCTATAATCTCTTGCATTCCGAAACTTTTCGAGGCGATTGTGAATGAAAAACTCTTTCTTCAAATTAAAAACAGAATAACTACTATGCAACATGGCTTCTTTAAAGGCCGTTCAACAACTACGAATTTGCTCGAATTAGTTAATTATTCCTTGAATGCAATGGATAACGGAAACCATGTAGAAGTGTTGTATACAGATTTCAGCAAAGCGTTTGATCGAATTGACATACCCATGCTTCTTTTTAAACTTCAAAAAATGGGAATTCATTACGCACTCCTCAAGTGGCTTGAATCATATTTAACTGACCGCCATTAAATAGTAAAATACAAAGGAAAGACATCAAATCCCGTTGATGTTACTTCTGGAGTTCCTCAAGGCTCCCATTTAGGACCGCTTTTATTTATTCTCTTCGTCAATGACATATATTTCATTATTAAGAAATTGAAAGTTTTAATCTATGCTGACGACATTAAACTTTTTTTGCAAATAAAAGATGCCAAAGACATCATCACATTCAAAGAGGAAATACAGATATTCCATACTTGGTGCCAAAAAAGCCTGCTACAATTAAATATAAAAAATGTAACTCAATTACCATTAGTAGAAAACGAACCCTACCCGATATAACAATCACTTTAGGAAACAATATCGTAGAAAAGTGTGATAGAGTCAGGGATCTAGGTGTTATTTTGGACTCAAAACTTACTTTCACCGATCATTATAACACAATTATTAACAGAGCTAACAACATGCTTGGTTTCATAAAACGTTTCTGCTACAATTTTCACGATCCGTATACGATGAAACATTGTACATTGCTTATGTAAGGTCGATATTAGAATATTGCAGCATAGTTTGGTCTCCTTTTTCAATCACACACGAAGAAAGAATAGAGTCCGTTCAAAAGCAGTTTCTATTGTATGCACTCCGCAAGTTAGGTTGAACTGTATTTCCTCTGCCATCTTACACAGCTCGGTGTATGCTCATAAATATCCAAACATTAAAAGAGCGTCGTAAATTTGCTATGATTTCTTTCGTAAACGATATCGTATCACATCGCATTGATTCTATAGAACTATTGTCATCCTTAAATTTATATACACCATAGGCATTTACGAAATAGAAATATATTTGCTACAAATCGTCATCGTACGAATTATGCCAAATTTGGACCCTTGAACCAAATGATGGATACATATAATAAGCACTGCGATAACATTGACTTTACAATGACAAAAACCAAATTAAAGCAATATTTTAATTCCTCGCATAACGTCAGCTAGAAGTAATGTTTTAACTTGTTCTCAAGACATATTATAAAAAAATATAAACAAAGACAAAATTGTAAACATAGCTCTTAAGACAACAATTGTAAAACGGTCTACACTGATTGACGACAAATAAATAAATAAATTTTGGTAGTTCAATTCATATAAAGGGTGATACGGTCAAAATTTGGTCAAGGGAAAACGCGTGTAAATCGGTGAAATCGTTTATTTAAAAAATCAAATTAAATTTCTTTTTCAAGTTCAATTAGTATAAAATTCAGGAAAAATATTCAGTTAGGCTTCCGCTTTTCCAAATCCGAATTGCCGGGCCTTACGCTTGACCCCTGCCATCAGATTTTGTACAGCCACCTTGTCCACCTTCTTCGCCGCAGAAAGCCAGTTTGCCTTGAACTGCTGCTCGCCCTTAGCAGTTTTTTTGGTCTTCTTTAGGTTCCGCTTGACAATAGCCCAGTATTTCTCAATTGGGCGGAGCTCTGGCGTGTTGGGAGGGTTCTTGTCCTTGGGAACCACCTGCACGTTGTTGGCGGCGTACCACTCCATGGCCTTTTTACCGTAATGGCAAGATGCCAAATCCGGCCAAAACAGTACGGAACAACCGTGTTTCTTCAGGAAAGGCAGCAGACGTTTATTCAAACACTCTTTCACGTAAATTTCTTGGTTGACAGTCCCGGAAGCTATGAAAATGCTGCTTTTCAAGCCACAGGTACAGATGGCTTGCCAAACCAGATATTTCTTTGCGAACTTTGACAGTTTCATGTGCTTGAAAACATCTGCTACCTTTCCCCTTCCTTTTGCCGT